TTTGGAGAAGAAAAATTAAGGTATATAGAAAAAATATCAAATTTTTACTTAGCTTTGGACGTTTCGGGAACGAATCTGCTTCCGTTTTCAACATATAAAATGGATTTTTTGTATCGCAAATTCGTATTTGTCCTGACACTTTCCAGTTCTCAGTTAGCGAAATATTTCCATACATAGAAATAATAATTAAACTTAGACTCTCCGCTACTGATCGAAATCAGACACATATTTATACACACTTTTTCGATCGATATGAAGAGATATATCTACCATTTCAGTTTGTACCTTAAAACCTGAATCACCCTGTATATACCCATATTATCCTTATCATCATTCACTACCATCATTCATTTCAAATGCTTTGAGTTTGATGTAATCTGGTATAGACTTCCTTTGCTATTACAAAATAATGTTTGTGCTTTTAAATCAACGAAATAATCCTTTTTACCGTTATACTCTACACTTTTTTCTTCAGTTAGAATTTTCCTATGCCGTCATTGTTCCAACATGGCGACGAACTATTCACGCTTACGATTTTTCAATGAGTGCTGATGCTTCTAGTGATACCACGTTTGGATCCACTAATGAAATTACAAAATAAAACATTGAAGTGTATTTTCAATTTGAATTTTCTAGAACCAACCATGAATTTATACAAACCTAGAGATTTGTTAGATCTGATATCACTAATCTCAATGAAATTAATTCATTACATAATCATGGAACAAGCCAATCAAATTTACTTATACTTTACGTATAAGTCAAATATCGGCAAACAATCCATTTTTCATACAAGAATCGTTCTATACAACTCATTACCAAGTCAATTGAGGAATATACAGGAAGCAACTAGATTCAAAATTAACTTGAAAAAATATCTGCTTCAGAGACTTTGATAATTCCATTTCTCATTTGAATGCCTACTTTCAAAAGACAAGGTTAATATTGACTGATTATTTGCATTTTTTATATTATATAAATGTATGTATAACATTATGTATATTGTTTATGTATCCCTATTATGAACAACTATGTTTCTTGGGGTAATAAAGACAATCAATCAATCAATTCACATAAGATTTCAAATTGTTTAGCAATAGTTTTATTATTTACCTCCAGTTGATGTATTTCTTTAATCTTCAGGAGCTATTTCGTATTGATGAGTTACCTACTCGTTCTTTTGCAGTCCTGAATTTTTCAGCTTCAGCACTGGTTAATTGGAAAAATGCATTAGCCGAGTGGAGACTCATCGAGTATTTCAGTCTTTGATGCATGAATTGCCTGATGCCTGAGCTGAAATTCAATTAATAACTCTTCAGTGTAGCTCTCTAGACTAATTTTCGTCTTTATTTCATCGTATGATAACCAGTATCATGTTTTCTATCCTGTTCTTCCCTGTTGAAGATATTTCTCCATGTAGCACAAACCTTCGCTAAATAATATTTTCTAACCTGTTACCGGTCTCACTAGTGAATTCATGCGCAGTTATGATACAAACATGAAATTTCTTCCAGGAAAAAGTGATTTCTTATACAGGGTGTATCTGAATAACACCGCAAAACTTCAAGGGGTGCATGATTCTGTGATGAAAATGAAGGTGGGTTTAACATTTTTTGATAGTAATATGTTTTTCTTTTTTATTTTCCCTGTATATTAAGCTAAAGACACGAAACTTGGTGAATACTATTTGTCAATAAAACTACACATTCTGGAATTGCTTCAAACCTGAAGAAAGCTTAGAAGGGGTTGAAATAGAGAGAGATATTTTTTCTTACAACATGTTTCTAATGACATGTTCCTCTTGAATAATCGTGGCTGGAAAGCCCAATTTATAAACTTTTATATCTACGAAAGTTTTTTCGAAAACTCAAGCATTTGCCATGTATTTTTGAAAGAATATATTTTGTCAAAAAAAAGTTGTAAGACAAAATATCTTAGATGTTGAATATTTCAACCCCTTCTAAGCTACTTTAGGTTTGAAAACTTAAGAAAATGTGAAGTCTCATTGACAAATGATATGACCAAGTTTTGTGTCTTCAGCTTAGTATACAGGAGAAATAAAAATGAAAAACCATTTCTCTTATTTTCGGAAGGGTGTATCTTTTCCTGGAAAAGCTTTTCAAAAAATGTTATAACAAACACCCACCCCAATTTTCATTACTGGTGATTCTTGATTTATTTTGTGTTATTCAGATACACCCTGTATATTCGTATGTATCAGGTGATTAATTGGCAGGTATCATAAATTGAAGGGCTTTCTGAGAAAACTGAGCTATGAAAATAGTTAAAATTAATTTTCTTCCAAAAATGTATTTTTGCCGAAAAATAGGGGGTTTAAATATCGGCTAAATTGCTTCAAAAAATGTATGCTTGTCTAATTTTGATGAGAAAACAAAACAATTCTCTCTCCTTGAATGAAAGAAGGAATGAAATCATTTTGCTATATATAATATAACAGGAACAGGAAAAATATGAATAAAAGAACCTCAAATCATCGAAGCCAATAAATTCTATTTCACAGATAACAGTTTGATGTAGGAGAAAAAAATGGCTATATTCTCATTGACACATACCTTAGGATGGAATAGGGAACCTCGAGTTCAAAACCAACCAATTCTTCACCTTAATTTCCTCATAGAAAATTGGTTGGCATTATAGGTACCCATTGACTTACAACCCTCAAAGGTAAGCAATAGCAGGAATAGGATTGAATAATGTATATTTGGTTATCAATGTGAAATCTCAAGTGTAAGTATGGTTGGCTTTTCCTCCAGCAGCAGCAACGTAACAAAGTAACAACAACAAAAGAGATTATGAAAATAGGGTTGAATCAGCTTATTTGATGAATCTCTTCATGCCATTTTTGCTCTATACTTATTCAGTTCTCTTTGTATACATCTAGAGATCATCAGTTTCACTGTGATTCCAATTTTCGAACAAACTAAATTTGGAAAAAGGGAATTCAGTTTACTGAAATGATCACATAGGGTTTATATGATGTGAAAGTCACAAGGATTAGAACATTTTGTATTTTACATGAGATTCAATTATCTAATGGCTCAGGCTCAGGTTTCTGTCAACAGATTATTCCAGAAAACTATATGTTACCTACACCCTCAGATATACCTTCTCTTCTGTGAATAATAATTATTGTTCTCCCTTCTCTCTCTAACTGGTTTTGCATTTGAATGAATACACTCATTATTATTTCTCGACCATGATTATAACAGCACATACTGAGTGTCTCAGCAATGCTTGCTCCTATAACTCTATTATTTGTTTTCAAGGATATGAGAATGTTATTTCTGATACGATAACCCATTCGTTTTGAGTTTTTTACCACAGCAACAGTCATATCATTCAGTATATTAACATTTTTATTGAATTCAACAAATAATGGTTCTTGTGGACCAGCATCAACTGATGAAATTATTGTACGATACGCAGTGTTTTACAAATTAATTGGGTATATATTTGTTGGTTCTTATCTCTATTTGAATTCTACCGATTATTATATGGGTACAAAGAAACTATGGGAACATTTCGAGAATCTTTTGAAGTGATTCTTGAAAGGAAGGGGGCACTCCTCAAAGTGCGACAGATATATTTTATCGCCCAAATAGTTTTTGGAACTTTGTGAATATTCAAGGAACATTTAGGTATCAAAAACCGTTAGTATATGTAAATGAGCATTGTCACCCTGTAAATACCAATCTGATTGGTCAGTATCTATATATATATATAATCAAAGTCCCTGTTAACATATAATGGTGTAGGGGCCAGTATCTAAAATATGAAATATTCCCACTACCATAAACGCGAATTTTCCTACCTCTGGTAGCCATTCCTATATGCGGAATGAATTCCAGAGACGAACTTACTCACTCTCAACAAGGTGAGAAATATATTTTTTTCCACCGCTATAAAACATTATCTACTCCTTTTCGGGGCGTAAAATGTGTCTTTACTACCAAGGTAATTTTCGTCATTTTATGAACCACTAGTGAATGTCACCTCTGTTTTAATTAACCCGAATGCGCTGTTCTCATCAGATATTCGCAAGAATGGCACTGTAGGTGAAAAAAATAATTATACTCCTCAAAGAGATAATTATGGATTCATACGAAGTATTTTTCAGTGAGAGATCTCATCATATTATTGATGACAATAACTATTTGATTCATTGTAAACATGTACGTAGGAAATTGTTACAATTTTCTTGAATTTGAAGTAGGTAAGTTACCTAATTCCCATATACCTAATAATACCGACATATTTTTGTTCGAGATGATGAATTTCTTATTCAATATATTAGACTGTGATATTAGTAATCTACCAAAACCAAACGATGAACAGAAACAGCTGATAAACTGACATCTGTAAAGCTTCAAAAGTGAACCGTGACGTCATAATCAGTTACCGTGACGTCATCATGAAGTTAACCTGGTTTGTCTGGTAAGGTTCGACGAAAAAAGACTATGTCTGATTCAAACCGTTTTCCTTCTGTGGTCTCTATGTTAGGATTGCCTGAGGTAGATTTATATGCTGAAGTTATAGAGCTAGTCCGATACTGTACTTAATGATTGATTTCGGTTGCAGCTCAACCAATAAAATCACTTTTTAGTGCAACGTACGTTGACATATTATCTTATCAGTCTCACAGCTGGTGAACTGACATTTGTCAAGCTTCAAAAGTGAACCGTGACGTCATAATACAGATATCGTGACGTCATCATGAAGTTAACCTGGATTATTGTCTAGTTAGGTTCGTCGAAAAATGACTATAAGTCAGATTCAAACCGTTTTCCTTCTGTTGTCTCTATGTTAGGATTGCCTGAGGTAGATTTATATGCTTATGTCATAGAGCTAGTCCGATACTGTACTTAATGATTGATTTCGGTTGCTGCTCGCCCAATAAAATCACTTTTTGGTGCAACGTACGTTGACATATTATCTTATCAGTCTCCGTACTATCTAGCTACGGTGTTTTATCTCACACTATGTCATAGGTGTTTAGCTCTGGCACATCGAAGAGGTGTGTGACATCGGGCAACTCTTAGCTAGTATGTGAAGTGGTTCTTGTCCAGAATGGTGCACCCGACAAATTTGTTGCGTACCGAGTCTGATAACGCTAACTTTGCGGCCCCGACAGGGAATTACATGAACGAAATCGACTGCGGGTTGACCGTTCTGCCGTTCCTCACGAAATGCTTGGGGTTGGAGAGGTTCGCAAGGTTCAGTGTTCTCGTAGGGCTCTTGTCGGTGCTGGGTTTCCTCCAAGGGGTCATTCTCATCTATTTCCGGAGTACGTCCCAGCTGTGGGTGGCGCACTATGAGGTACCCGTTCCAGGTAAGATGGATAGATTTATAGAACCTACCACTATTTACTCCTTTTCAAGGCGTAAAGTGTGTTTTTCTACCAAGTAGTTAAAAATAAATTTGAATATCACGATGATTACTCATTAAGTCTGAACATGTTGTACTGGTTCTTATAGAACTGATCGCCCCACCTGGCTACACCACTGATTAACTGAATTTATACTATGAAAACAATTTTCTAACAAGAAGTTCTTGAGACTTTTCCTGAAACAATTAATATTTTGTACGTCATTCACAAATTGTGCTAGTTTGTTGTTCAGTTGTTTACCAGCATAAGATTTAAGAAGAGAAGATTTTTCATAAAATAATGTTCTATGATTTGGAATGAGCAAAAGATTACCATGTCTTGTATAATAACTTTGATCGTCAGAATTCCTAGAGAAGTTATTCAATTCGCTATTGATGGAATGATAGTATAGGGGTAGTCATCTGAAATTTTTTTGCAAATTACAGATGACTACCCCTCACTCATTATGGAAGGGGACAGTATAACACCGACCATACGATTCAGGAATATGCCCCAAGTCAAAATTCCTACTAGGATAGACTAGGAACAGAATGGGCACCGCATACTATACCCACCAAGGGCATCATCTGGTATACAGATGGCTCCAGGATGGAAGAATGTGCAGGTGCTAGGGTCTATGGGCAGTCCACAAGGGCAAATCATTACTATACCCTTGGGAAACATGCCACGATTTCTCAGGTTTTTTCAATACTTGCCTGTGTTCGAGAGAATATCGAGAGGGGCTATCACAGCCAGCAAATCACTATATGCACTGAGAGCCAGGCGGCGATCAAGGCGCTCACCTCGTATAGGGTGACTCCCGCCTTGGTGTCAGAGTGCATAGATAGCCTACAAAGGCTGTCAGCAACGAACAAAGTATGCCTTTCGTGGGCTCCTGGGCACTTAGGGGTACCAGGTAACGAAATGGCCGATGGTCTGGCCAGAAAGGGGTGAAGGGTTCAGTGATTGGTCCAGAGCCAATCTTGGGGGTCACTCGATCCTGGAGCAACTTTAGGATGGAGGAAATCCTGACGGAAAGGTTTCAGGACAGTTGGAAAGGGGCTTCTGGAATGGGGCAGTCCAAACTCCATATAGAAAAACCGTCACGAAGACAGACCAATGCCCTCTTGGCTTTGAACAGGAAGGAGCTGAAACTGGTGGTGGGCCTTCTGACAGGGCACTGCCACTTGAACGAACATCTCAGCACGATCGGGATTGGGGAGGATCCTGAATGCAGATGGTGCTTAGAGGATGAAGAGACTTCTACTCACATCCTCACTGAATGCCCGGCAGTAGTGGCAGCAAGGGATATCCATTTTGGTGGCAGTATCCTGGACCCAGAGAATGTTAAAAAGATTTGGCCTAGAAAGTTGGTCTCTTGACGTGACCTTATACGTCTCGACTGAAGCTTAGTGATATAATCTTGGTCCCTGGGGTAATAATGGTATACTTTACTACCTAGGTGTACAAATTACTATTGTAACGATGTATCGTGAATCTGGCATTTTTGATATTTTGACTTTTAGTGCGTTCTTGGGTTTAGGTCTCCGTAGGTGGAAGAAGGAAAATTTTTTGGTATTTTTCTATTGTTCAGGGTGTTCCACAACGAAAGAGGCAACTGCCATGAAAGTATAGGATATCTGGGTAAGCCTTATTTAGTCTCCAATAGTCTCCATGTATTTTTTAAGATAACTTTTCAGTGTATATCAAAGCTTGAACATTTCCTCACTGAATGTTACTGTGAAAATGTTTTTGAAGACAAAATGTTCATTGCCTACCAATGTTGACCCACTTATCATGGAAGAAATTTAGACTCTTCTAGATGACTCTCAGACCACATTAGTCCCTTTCGTCGTGGAAGATCCTGTATCTGTTTTCAAAATCCCAAGTACCCACTAAAAATCGAAATTACCAAGTACCTAATCAAGAAGCTACAAATGATAAATATTATTATTATGATGAATCATAGTGATTTTATCAGAAGGTACCTATACGCAGCCTACGTATAAATATTATCATCATTGACTCCACATAGTTTTCACTCTTTTTGAGTAGGAAATACATATAGTGATAAAGAATGCAATAAAAATGATAATGCATTATTATGAGGGCATTTTCATTATGGTGAAGCAAGTCAGGTTGAGGTGATGGTAAAATTACTGAGTGTTTTGTTTCGTCCAAAATTGTTGAGATCATGTTCTGATGTATTTGTGTCGATGAATATTCTTCGTATGATTTGGCAGCGGAATCAGAACAAAAATCCTTCTTAGGATTTGTTTTCGTTTTGAATAGGGTTGAATAGCAGATTTTTCAGATAATATTTTGGAAATAACTGGGAGTTATTGGGAGGGGAAGCTATTCCCTAGGAAAAAATCAGATGGTAGGTATCATAGTCACGTTCAACGAATCAGAAAATTTCCTCAAATCAAGCATTTATATTGGCGCATGGTGAAAATGAGTGGAAACTTTCTCAAGAAGGTGTAAAAGCGATTTTTCGTTCAGTATACAAAGCTGTAGGTCCCGCTCTTCCTAACTCTGCAAAAGTTTCGACTTCTGGGGAGTTGGTTCCCAACTCCGAAGTAGTGATATATTAATTAGAAAAGAAAGGAATACTCTCAGATAAACTATTAACATGAAAATAATGGATATATATATATGAAGAAATACATTGAGAATTGGCATTCTCTATATGTGAGGAAAATATCAATTCTTTCTCGTTTTATTCAAAAAACAACTACTTTCCTTCAGAGATATGAAAGATGTTGAATTAAAAAGTTGTGTCAAACGACCCAAACTTTTATTTCGTGAAGTATACAGGGTCATTCGTTTTCCGGAAAGAACATTAACTTTGATTTTTTCAATGGAACACCCTATATATTTTCTGACAAATCGATAGAGCCACCTTTTCTGATTGGAAAAATATATTGCATATTTGGATAAATAATTGAGTTATTGATTATCAAAGTTTACCAAAATACCGAATCTTCCATTGAAACTGTCTAGTCATATTTTTTTGTATTGAGATTGAACGATTTCAATTTCATAATAAACAATACTATGACATTTCCATGGAGCTTGAACAACATATAAACGTTATTTCAAACCCCACTATATTCAACTTTCATCCAACTATGCAACTCATATATTCTTTTGAAGCCAGAATAAAAGGCTTTATCGACATGTCGCAAATTATATTGGGTGTTCCATAAAAAAAAATCAAAGTTGATGTCCTTTCTGGAAAAACGAACAACCCTGTATATGAAACAACTTCACGAAATAAAAGTTTGGGTCGTTTGACACAACTTCTCCATTTAACATTTTCCATATCTCATTCCATTTTAAGAGGTGCACCCTGATCTACTTATACCTAGTTGGATAATTGAACATATGAATTCCCATTTCTCATTTTTTTCTGAACACTAATCATTCATTTTTCTTTCAGGTTGGTTTATTTTCGCGAACGAGATATCTGTCGGTATATTTGCATTATATGTGGCTTACTGGGGAAACCGAATACATCGAGCAAGTTGGATGGGAACTCTAACTATATTTCTTTCCATATCGTGTGCAACTTTGGCAATTCCCGAAATTTATAATCCATTTACTGGAGTTGAGATTAATAGTGCCATTACAGGTAATTTGACCATGAAATATATAGCTAAGCTGAGAAAAACGTCTCAAGTATAAGTACCCTATACTATGTGAGCCTTAATTAGGAATGAATAAACTTCTTTGTTTTAGGCCCAGCACTATGTAATACAAACAAATCTGCCGACTTTGCAGTGGAAACTATCCATTGGAAGACATATTCGATTACTTTAGCAATTATCTTACTGTTTCAAACATTATTCGGTATGGCTAATGTAGCATTCATAACTCTTGGTATGACATACTTGGACGACCATATTTTTCCGAAACACAGTCCTGTTTATATTGGTGGGTATACTTAATTATATAGAAGTGATGTAACAAAAATCAATTGGATTTTTTTGTTTCGCCATAGGAATGGCATTTGGAGCTAGTGAACTTGGGAAGCAGCTGGGAGTTTACAGTTCATGGGTCCCTTACATTTTCGATATATATATGATATTTGCATCACCAGGTAAAGTAGATAATGTAGTATTTCTTCTTGTGACCAAAATGCCGTTTTTAGTATGGATCATCATCACAGTTTCGACTTTTGTGATCGGAAGCATAATTTCTTTGTTTCCACAAATTCTTCCAAAAAAAGCTATGATGAAATCTGTGAATTCACTGGTCAGCTTCGCTTCTGGCATAGATCTTGAAGAAGATGAGGAAGTCATAGATGGTAAAGTATTTACGATTGGAGTTTACACAAATTCTTTCATGATTTTTCTAGGATTTTTCGTCACTGTAGCGAGACTGCTGAAGAATAAAGTTCTCCTACTGAACATATTCTCATTTGTTGCACTCGAATCAGCCTTGGTGAATTTCAACTTACTAGAAAGATATTTCAACCAAGCCAAATATCACATTTCCATCAAGGACATTTCTGGTTATAGTGATCCAGAACTGATTCAATTTTCCAAAACTCTCCTAAAGCAACCAGTTGCTGCTCTCTTTGTATTAACCTCAGGAATGGTGATCGCCAAATTCAAACCCACAGCTAAACAACTAGTCACTTGGAATGTTTTCGTATTCTTCTCTACAGCCCTTGTTTTTTCCGCTACAGTATTTTCAAACTGTACTCGTGGACCTATAAATCATCATAAAAACGCTATAAGCATCCCTTATTGTAGCAGTAATTGTGGATGCTCAGCTGATGAATTATTCCAACCAATATGTGTGGATGGAAAAACATATTTCTCGCCTTGTTTGGCTGGTTGTACAAGTTTCACAGCTGGAATCAAGGTGAGTTGCTACATTAAAAGAAGAATGGAGATCCAGTGTATTCATATTTTAGGTCTATAATAATTGTTCTTGTGGAACCATCATATCCGAAGGATCTTGTGATAAGGAGCATTGTAGATTGGTACTGGCAATGGTACAAGCGAATAGTGTGATATCATATGGTCTACTAGCATCTACTGTAGTCCCAAACATCATCATAAACATTAGAAGTGTTCTCAACAAAGACAAAGCCGTTGCACTCGGTCTAGGAATGACTTTCGTGGGAATCATTCCATACGTTCCCGTAAAGTTGATGTATGACTCTGTTGCAGGTAGGTTCTATTTTTTCTTGGATCTTGCATCAGCTACTGATGCCTTGAGTATATTTACCAAATTTCGATTCGACTATACTGCCTATAGAATCGTGCTATACGTTTTCTTGTTTCAGATAACTTTTGTGAAATCAAGAACAAAACTGGTTGCCAATACTTCTCTGAGTGGTTTGCGATATTCCTCTCATCGATGACAATATTCTTTATATTCCTCGCTGCTTGCCTAGCCACCACACTGCTTTGCATTATAAGAGATCTTCCTTTATACGAAGGAAAACACTATTCAAGCAGCTCGGATATAGAGATACGTATCCTGCCACCAGACCCCAATCAACCTGAACCTAGGGCTGTTGTTCCTGGACTCACTACTCTTCGAGCTGAAGAAGAATATCCTTTCATGCGTACATTCAACGAAAGTAAATTCGGTTTTTCACCAGTGCTCCACAGAGTCACTGCGATCAGAGAAGAAGGGCCACCGTCTCCCTCTACTTTCAGCTCAAGATCAAATAATGCTCCACATAATTCAAGAACCTCTATCAATTCTGATGGATCTTTAGGTGCATCACTTGAGGCAATTGCCAATGAGATAGGAGATACATGTGATGAGGAGATGAAGAGGGAAACAAATTCCTCAGGCTCATTGAAGACGTCATTGGGCTACATAGTTTTAAAGGTTGATAAACCTGATCCACATATCGAACAAGATGAAAATATTTATGAAGAAGTTTATGCTAGCAAGAGTGTTCAGAGTGATCTGTGAGTTAGTAATCAGTTTTATGATTTATTCACTTATCTACATTACAGCAGAGGTGAGGTCCTCATCTAATTCAATATCTTCATCGAATATTTTCAAGTCCTTGACGAAGTACCATACTGCAACGTCGAACAATGTTCCAATCAGTACAAAAGCTGCTGCTGTATAGTTCATGGTATACCTCAAGGTCTCTCCGTTATACAACCAGCAGTTGCCATTTCCAGTACAAGTTTTGCCCCACACCAGGCAAGCTTTGTCTGTAAGAAAATACTGTTCTAGCTTTATCAAAATAGGTTGTGCTCTCTCTTGTTACCTAAAATTATACCGAAGAGTATAGGGGATGGAACGAATGCACACAAGCTCATGAGCATAAGTCCAAGACCCATGGCTACTGGTTTATCTTTCTCTTCCACGCACCTGGAAAAAATGATTGGTAATTTTTTACTTTACGTTGAATGATAGCTGATAGGGACTACTTATATCTATTATATATATGAATAGAACCTACAAAGTTACTCATTTTAGAAAAAAACTGTTATGATATTTTCTGAAACATTCAGCAGTTCCAATAACAATACAATTACAATACAATAGTGAGTGTTCAACTGTATATTCTACGTTATATATGAGAATCGGTTTCTGAGAAATAGGCTAGGTTAGGTTAGATCTCAAATCCATCATCTATAAACAGCTTTATGCTGATACTTCGCCTTTTCGTCATTGCAGTTTGAGTCTGATTGTGTATAATATTTTGTTATTTTGTTTATTGTTAAATACTGTCTGTAGGTTAATCGAGGAGGTGGTACATTCATTTTACTTGATATTTTGGGATTTTCTCTCCTCGTTTCTATAAAATAAAAGTATTCGTATTATTTCAATATATTTGTAGAGGGACAAATCAGATGATTTGCCCCAAAATGTCACTGCATATCTGAAAAAATAAAACGTGTTGGTGATAAGTTCCAAGTGAAAACTGTGTTCAAAATCCATTCTAACTCAAACGAAGCTAAAAAATGAAGAACTATCATCAAAAAATTGTATTTATAGTATACCTTGTGTTTGTGGAAAGTATTGTACAGGTGAAAGGAAAAGACCTCTCTCAGTAAGGACTGAATAACACAAGTACAATATCAAGAAAAGACATATCGATAAATCGAAGCTAACTGAACATATCCTTACTGAAGATGGACAACATATGGCAGAGTGGAATAATATCAAAATCATAGGAAAGGAAGATAACAACCAAAAAAGAAAAATCGAGGAATCCGCTTGCATTCTTCTAAACGGAGACAATAGAATTGCTTCCTGTTCAGTTGATTTAGATAGAACATGGTATTCACTACTGAAAACTGAACATGAAAATGGTAGATTCAAGATCAATCAATGAAAACATCCTGTAACTCATTTCTGGACTAAGATCACTCATTCATATGCCAACATCAGTATGACACTGAAAAGTGTCAAACTATAAGCAGCACAACTTTCAAAGAAACATAATTTGCATTTACATGTTGAGAACGGGAGCAGAATCGGTCCCAAAACGTCCAAAGATAAGTAAAAATTCGATATTTTTTAAATATATCTATATTTCTTTCCTTCAAACATTTTTTCAAACAAATTGTCACTGACAAGCTACTGGATTTTTCTTTTAGACTCACTGATAGAAAAATTTGTTAAACGCAGTGACATTTTGGGGCAAATCATCTGATTTGTCCCTCTACAAATATATTGAAATAATATGAATACTTTTATTTTATAGAAACGAGGAGAGAAAATCCCAAAGAATCAAGTAAAATGATTGTTTATTGTTGTTCTGCTAATGATGAATATAGACGTATTATTATTATTATTATTATTATTATTATGAACTGATCTTGTTGGATTTTGAAAAAGTAAAAACTACTTTGATTCTCATGACATATAAAAAGCTGCTGCCATTTTAGAAAGACTCAAGGATATCTTGTTCTCAAAGTATTATTCTGTGTTATTATTTATATCAATTATAATAGGTTCTGATTCTATTTCTACTTTACGTTTAATAAACCGTTAAAAATAGGTACAGTTTGAGATTTCAAATATTTCTCTCACAATTTGTCATGTTTGAATGATAATATATTGCAATAAATACCTATTTTAGCATTGTGTTTTCCATGACCGCCCCCCTCCCCTTTAATCTTCAATAATCATATATGTAATACATATTATGTATACTTAATCATGGGAAATATACACAGAATATTCTTGTATTTAGAAATATGTTGATTGAAGATAACTGAAAAAAATCTCACCTCACTGTGACCAAGAAATTTGAAGCTCTTCCAGTAGCCCCACTAAATTTCAAAATACAAACCACACAGAGAAATATATAGAACTGACGTAGACAATCCACGGGACAGCTTCCCGAAAAAGCAATGCTATCTTGTATTGAATCTGTCTCCTTTTGAAACGTCGCCTTTTCGATTTTTGTCATCCATTCAGCATTGTGGGTTGTATCTCTGCTAATACACGAACAATCGGAAAATATGTTCGACCCATTTACTTTCCTTACATGTCGGCAACCAGCATGACATGCGGATATAAACGTTGCCTTGCCATCTTCCGAACAAACTGGGTTATATTTGATATAGTCGCAGTGACAGTCTGAATTACATTTTGATACCGGGTTCAGTCTGCAACATTCGAGAAACTTTGCTTCAAGTTTGAAGATAAATGGTATACAGCATGTCACTAACTTGAGAATGAAAAATTACTATAGTGAATGTGAAGATTTTTCTTGGAGAGATATAGCATGAGTACACTTTCAAAGTTTTCACTTACTCTCCAGTAGGCAACAGAGGAGCTTTATTGTCATTACCAGTACATCCAAGATGGGCGTATGAAACAATGCCAGTAACAGAAATGAGACCAACAATGATATTCCAAAGAGCCAAATATCTAGCTTTAGGCTTATACTTCGATATAATCAGCCCAGAAAGCAAAATTCCTATTGCAGAAAACACAAGACCAGCACTTCCAGTTATCAGGTTTGAAGCTGAAGCTGATTGCCTGTACTGTGTCTCAATATACTTGGGCAAAAATATCCAGTATGGCATGTAGCCTAGGAAGTAAAACACTGCTGCAAAGTTGTTCGACATTAAGGTCGGATTTTTTGTAATCCTCCTGAATGTCTTGATCATATCTAGAAAAAAATAACGAGTTATAAAAATATGCTCCATGTGTGATTATATGAGTTATACCCTTGAATGAGACTGGCAACTCAGGTTCAGGCTCCAGCTTGACTGAGGACGCTTTAGAGTACTGCCTCTTCAGTTTTTCCTTTCTTATAGCAGCTCTGGGCAAGGTTTTGGGGAACAGTGCTAGCAGAGTTGAAAAAACGAAAAGTACTGCACCCAAAATTATCCATCCTAACCACCATGCCCCCAACCATCTGGGATCTTGGTTGTTGATGGTTGGAGTTAAAGTTGGATTGATGTAAAACTTGAGGCAAAGCGAGGCTAAAGCATAACCCATCGCTGGCCCTAGCATCCTGAGGAAATATGATACACCTAGAATCAAACCGTGGTATAGTGGGATAACCAGAGTATCTTTGTGCACTCCACTCACTGAATAATGCTGGGGTTTTTGACTTCTTGATATTATCATCCATATAGGATATGCCAAGAGTATAGTACAGAGATCCACCAATACCAGAAATGAACTGAGCAGCAAAGAGTATCAACTGGGGAGAGTAATTTCCATCTGTAGGTTCACACTCGGCATACCGTCTACTTTTATTTCTACAAACATCTTTTTGTTCCTGTAGTAGCATATTATCTATGGAAGAATTTGGGTTTGTTCCATATTCCATAGTGAGAGAGAGAGCATCGTCCCCTGCACCGTACAAGAAGTGGGGCAAGGCTGTTAGAAGGCAAAACAAGACCACCGTGTACATTCCCAGAGCCATCCAGCGTGGTCTGTGGCCTCTTCCTGCATAGTAGCTCAGGATTACTGAGACCAGTAGTTGACTGAGGTCATTACCTACAGATATTATACCTGAAATGATAATGGAAATTAGAATATATATGTCAGCGTCAAACAGTGAAATCCGTCATTCTCTGGAATGCCTAGTCATTTCACGTATTGCCGGCAAACAGGGTAACTCAAAATTTCGTACACCGTTTGCCTAATAGTTTCAGGCATAGGCCGAGTCAGCTTAGGTTGTTTAGAAGCAGTAGTCTCTTTTGTTCTCTCAAGTAATTTTCTGAAAAATATGCTTTCTAGGAAGAAGGTGCATTTAGGCGGAAAAATAGTCTCCCTTCTTTTGTATATGCAGAAAGGATATTTTCCTTTCTCAACCTTCCGGCAAACAGAGTAACGGCTGAAAATGGAAGTTACGCTGTTTGCCGACAATACGTGAAATGACTAGGGATTTCAGGGAATGACGGATTTCACTAATTGACGCTGACATATACATACGTCTCAATGTTTTAGGATTCGTTATCGAATTCTTATTATTTTTTGGCATTTTCTTGTTGTTGTCTTTGTCGATTTTAATAATACTCCATCTCGTTATCTCCCCATTCATCTATTTATATTCATTGTTGCCCATTATACAATAAATTACTGATATACTGAATACTACTGTGTTTATATAATGTGAAATCAATTTGGATCGTGATGAAATTAGAACTATGTAGTTACTGCTGGAATAAGTATTGTCTGGGACCTGAGTTTATAACCAGTTTATGAAAAGGTAGGTATGCCTTCCTGAAAGTTTGTTCATAATATTCTGAAGTAAATTGATGATTTCAATGCACATAATGTTGATTTATAGAATAATGCCAAAGGATCAACATGTCCCTGAATGGAATTATAGTTACGTACCTGTATTACGACTAGGAATCTTGAACCTTTTCTCGAGCGTTGTGATTGTCCCGTTGAAGTAAGCATAAGCTGCCGAAAAAACACAACCAAGTAGTCCATACAAAAATACGTAAGCTTTTTTATTGGCAAATTTCTGTAACCATCGCCCTCTCATGAACCAAACCCCGCAAGAGGTTTCTTCGCTCTGCTGTGATAGGAACTGGGTCTCACTATCGACATCTGTCAGAATTTCATTCACTTCTGGTAAAAAACTCTGGATCTCATCGATCCTCACTTTTCCTTCGATATTCCTTATACTGTTATCCATCTAAACGTGACAGCACTACTGAGATTCACTGATTTTTATTAGAGAACGCTGGTTTTTCACAGCAGATTTTTTGAATATTGTAGTATTTGTAGCGTGTTATGAGATTTACGTATGAATTTGAATGGAATGCTCTTGTAAATAAGCGAGATAAGATATTTACACTAAAAATTTTACCAGTGTCGAAAACAGTATTGTCTTCCCGCAGACACTTCGTTTCATCTCACTTCCAGGGACATCAGAGTTAAGTTAGCCGTGTTTGAGATATAATGCATTGTATAGTCAATCATCTAAGCAAAGTTAGTTGATGCTTTGTGTCTCGGGGCCTTTATTATTCAATTGTCAGACAGTTCGAATAAGCATGTGGATATTTCACTTCACGTTAGGTGCCTTATTCCGTCGTCAAATCATTCGTCTTTTCTCTGTTCTGGAGTTGTATATCAAATAATTTTATCCAATGTTTTTGGTTGTCGTCATCAGATAATACAGTTTACGTAACCAAAAGGCGTAATGATATTTTTCAATTTTTTAGGAGAGCAGATTAAAGATTCTGTGGCACAGTCAAACATCGATACCTAATATTTTTTTGATGGTCGAAATTTTCAAAAGAACTTCTGCCTATCAAGAATGTGCTTTAACCTACATGATTTTCAAAATAATTAATGAATTGAATTTCTTGCCGAAAAATTGTGATGTTTACAAATCTTTCAATATTTGTGCAAGGAACGATTGAGGTACTCAAGAAACTCAAGTGATCGAAATACGGCATTACTACCGGAGCAAAGGGACATCTCATATTTTAAAGTCGTTGATGGAGGTAAAACAGAATTATCGAATATCTGAATTGAAGACAGATACTGCTAGACGTGTCAATGTAATCAACCAATAAACAGTCTGCAAGTGACTTCTTCTAAACACATTTTCAAAGGCTCATCTTATTCTTTTGCTGCAAACTCTACCATAGCATTAAAATTGAATTCCTGAAAAGTGTTATCATTACGAATAGGTACTTAAAATTAGCAAATCTTTGGAAATGATCTGAAACGTATGAAATCAAATATTTTCGAGCAGTGAACTTCATGGGGATGCTGTCTTCTAGACGAACCTTGGTGTCAATACACATAGTTTTCACGTTTTCAGTACCATCCCTCCACTACACAATAGTATACATAATGGGCGTTCATACTCTTGCATCTGAGTCATTTCATACTTATCACACCTATCACCTATATATTATTAACGCAGCAGGATTACTGAATACATAGGAATTACAACAACTGAAGAGACTAGACTTGGTAGCCTAACTTCTCAATCATCTGATGTTTGGCCACACTGAATTTGATTGGTTCAAATGAACAAAATCAGGGCAAAACGTCAGTCATGAAAAAAACAAAAATGTTCAATGACCAAGAGGCTCATCTTAATTTACGCCTCTTTTTGATGAAATATTGCATTCTGAATGAGATACACCTAGACCGAAATTCGGAGGTACGTCGAAAATATAATACATCTAGTGAAGTCCATTGCTGACAAGCTAAATAATACTAAAACAAGTCGGAATGCGGAATGCATTCTTTTCAATCAAACCTTTTGGTAACATGAGCACAGCTAATATAATAACTTTTCGCAAGTCGAAATAAGTTCCTGCGATGTCCATTATCATAAATCTGATAGTATATTATCAAAATGACAAATGAACATACCTGGTACTCGAGATTATAGTGTTCCAGCAGTACCATTGACCAAGTAACCAAGTAACCAAGTACCACTGATGAACTCTGGTTGAACTAAATATGAGGTAAGTATAGCAAGGGATGGGGGTGAAAATTGAAAGATGAATAAATTTCGGGGAACGAGGAGAAAAGACCCTAATAAAGTTGAAGCAAAAAGAGCAACACACTGGCGAAGACTTTCAAGTTTACGGCAATCAAGAGAGGTCCTCGGCATTTTCAACCGAGCAAGATCAAAGACACTGATTAACCTCAGCAATATTATTCTCAAGGCAATAATATTGTTAGACTCAAATAATACCTCAGGAAGCTACACCTAGAGGACTGTAGCATCTACCATATCTTGCTGAAGTCTTACGCTGTACATCACAAAAGATTGAATTACACTAGGAGCATACCAGTAGACTGTGGGAGAAATACCGCAAACAGATTTCCTCAAAATCATAAAATTGTCGAAGGAACTGAAGCTGCTATACAAGAAAGCCTCAAGATAGCAGAAGAAGATAGGCACAATAGATCCAATCTTGTCACAGCGCATTTGTCACAATTCAATGCACATGATGATTTTTTTTCTTGGATGTTGGTCCTGTCACCGGCTACACCTCAGCCTCCTGGGCTTTTCGTGCATTCCAGTTTATTTTACAGCACCCATTTCGTAGCTCGTATTCCCTGCACCAGTCTGTACATGTTCTTCACCGGTTGGCTGTTGTATTCTTCGGAAGTCTGCCTAGGCTGCCCGAATATTTCTTGTGAGTAGTTTCAGATTTAGTTTTCGTCGGTTCTTTAATGAATACTTTCCCGTGGTGCAAGTGAGTGGATTCAGTCGTTACCACCGATAAAACAAGGCCAGCAGACTCTGACGTAAACAGCTCGTGACGTCGCATACTCAGGCCATCTTCCAAGGCATTCGCGTCGATCGATCGTCAGTTTGTTTTTGTTCAAGAACGGTGGCGTAGGTAAATCGCGTGTGCTCGAATTCTCTTGTTGTTTATTCATCAAAATAATTGGCGGAGAAATTACTGTTTTGTGAAATATTTCGTGTTGTGATAGGCGAAATAACAATGCCTTACAAGTGTTGTGTTCCCTTTTGTCGGGGGAATTATGTGGGTGGTCCAAAAGTTCATGCTTTTAGTTTCCCGTTGGACAAGGAACTATCGAAAAAGTGGGTACATGCAATTCACCGCAAGGATTTTACGACTCCATCTAAGTACAGTAAAGTATGTGAATTACATTTTACTAAAGATGATATTATTACTTCATCTACTGCAACCGATTCAAAAACTGGTAAAACTGTAACAATAGATTTAAAAATTCCTAGGGTCAAACGAGATGTTATTCCCACTCAGTTTCCCAACTGTCCATCTTATTTATCGAAAGATGTAAAATTACGCACAAGTCGTGATGAAAAACTTGAGATACTAGAGACTAAAAATTTGGCACAAGCACTTACCAAAAGTAAAACTGAATTCGAAAATTATCAAAAATCATTTTGCTACACAGAATTTCAAGAATTTCTAGTTGTATTAGAGTCTTTTCAGTTGCCCGAAAAGTGGTTCAAAATTATCGATTTGCAAAAAGTCACATTATTCAAATTGTCTTATTCTCCAGGGCCCGTAATTACAAATTCGGTTGTGATTGATTTTGTTTTGAATGTGAAATCATTTTTGTATGACCTAGCGATACAAACATCTCTAAAAGCCAATCTGAAAACACCTTTTATCTCTAATAATATCAATCAAATCAAGGAATTACTAATTGAAATAGATAAAAACGAGATACATAATTCGGGAAAATATCTTGATAATCAGAAAAAGGGGGTTTTGAAACATATTTCGAATGCATTGGACTCTTTGGTTTCTGACTCAATACATTCTCAAATTTCTTTCTGAAAACGGTCATTTGCCTCGTGGCAATGAATGCAGAATTCATTCCAATGATCAAATTGCAACTATTATATTCACATGTACTACAAACACTCTACTTAAAAATTACTGTTTCAAGTCTAACGACCAATTGGGTAAAAAAATTCAACAACAGGAAATTGAAAACACTCACTGGCTAATTTTTTAGGTAATAGGAATTTTCCAAGATAAATATAGGTAATTAGGTATAACAAACGGCATGTCTATCAAACTAAAATACCTTTTCCCCAATTTTCTTTCGATCAATCTCATGATAAGTTTATGTTCTGTGGGCCCTGTATAAGTAGGTGTGAAGTTTACCTCTAATGAGATTGAATCACTACAATTTTTGCCAATATATTTAATTCGAATGGGTTGCTGTAGGTGGGTATTTGTGTTTTATTCTGGTTTTTGCTTTGAAACTTCGTTTTTCCATAATAAAATCGAATGGGATGCGAAGAAGGGCTCAGTTGACGGCTGGCATCCTCTTTCAACCGGAAGCCCTTCAAGAGAAAAGCAAAATCGGCTCAATAATGATCTAAAACTAAAATCGAAATACGCGGTCGCCTTATAGCGCTATAAGCGCTTGTCGTTTCGAGCCGCTGGTTAGGCCTGACTAAGTGACGTCACCCACGGAGCATGCAGGCCTTGTTTTATCGGTGGTAACGCTTCAGTCCATCGCTCCTTATGTTTTCGCTTGATCCAGTTCCGTATATAGCCTCGGGTAGCTGTTTTAGTAACCTCGAGTACGGGTTCTGGGCCAATGTATGGAGTTGATGAGACAGTTCTTGCCAGTTCATCAGCTTTTTCGTTCCCTACGATGCCGCAATGTCCTGGAACCCATAACAGGGTAATTTTGTTATGTTTTGACATAATTTCTTCTTTGCATTCCCGTATGCGCATGATGATAGAAAGAAACTTGATGTGATGAAAACCAATAAGTATATCTGTTTATATTCGAGATAATTTCTATAGTTCATGCAGAATAATTAAGTATGTTTCATTATTTTCGTGATTCAATTTTGTTCCGTGGTGAACGCAAATATAAACACAATAGGGTTGAAGGAATTTCGCACGGCCTGGCGCACTCTCAAGTCGAGGTTTAGGTAAGATGTATTCCTCGGCTTTCAATAAAAGGGTGGAATATAGGGAATTAAAAATAAATGGAAACTTTTTCCATAAGTCCCGCTAGATTACAAATAATGAAAGCTCGGTTCGCATTGCGTTTAGAGTTTTAATAGTCTTATGGCACATCGCGCGGAATTAGTCGGTATGCCAGAAGTATCTTGGTATCTCTGAGATATTTATTCGTTTTTCCAAACGACTCGGTCCGAGACAATGCCGGGTCTAAGGACGCTTAGGTCTTGCCCGTGATTTCGCTTTAATCCTTGTATAATGG